AGTGACACCTTGTAAATAGAGTTCATTTATTTCTTTGTACAGGAGATCAATACGTGCACAAATATAAAAGTATCTTCACTAAGTTCAGACTCGGAACTTAGTCTATGAGACTCGTTTAAGGGCGTTGGTCATCGAGAGGAAAAACGTATGGAGTTTTTGACGCTTTGGATCTGTCGAAGAACTCCCCGAATTCGGACTAAATTCCCCTTATATCTCCTGAATTTCGACCAATCATCGGCCAGTAACTCTTTCATGAGAACGGACGAAAGGGGGATGAATGAGGGGTAATTATTTCCCATCTGAGCTGGATTTTTAACCAGATAAGGGAAAGTCAGAGGATGTTCTCTTCTGTGAAAGGAAGTAGCATCTGTTATCTGGTTTTTCCCACGTCCAAAACACTAGTTTTTCACAAAAATGAAGTAATATTTTGTGTCGATATTTTATCATTATTAATAAAAATCATTAAATTAGACCCAGGGGCCTTTCGGGTCTCACACTACATAATGGGATACATATTAATAATAATGTTCAAATTGAACACCAATTTATTTAAGTGATTCCACTTTTTCTTTCAGTTTATCTAAAGTAATACATATTTCTGCTAATAAGTGTATGAATAAATTTTCTCTATTGTTGACGATATATTCTCAATTTAATTTTTGATATTTTAATATGTGGCACCAAGAAAGTTGATTTTGGAAATCGTCTAAGTTGTTCAAGTTTTTGGTAACAGAAACAAAATCCCAGTCTAGATAATCTTTTAATTTGCATAAAGTCTGTTTTTAATTGTTGATATTGTAAAATTTCTTTTATATCAAATTTATGTACGAAGGTGATAATGAAATAATCCGAAAGAGTTTGAAATTCTGCAACTTTATTCCAATCAAGATGGTATGAAAAATTGGTCAAGAAATGATATTCTAATTTCTGATATTGACATATTAAATTCTATTTTGCAAAATTAATATGTTGTGTGATAAATTATGGGGAAAATTGGAATTTTTCCATATGTATTTTCAATTTAATTTATCTGCAAATTCCGAATTAAACATGTGAGATAAATTGTGTCGCTGACTGATGACATTCCAATCAACAAATTTTTTAAAATGACGAATAGAACTCTTCTAATGGAGAAGACGAGAAAGTTTTCCAGTCAATGGAGGGTTGTGAAGTGTGTACAAAAAAGAAACAAGTTTTCATATTAGGAAGTATTGTTTATTCAAATTGAACGCAGTTTTAAAATTGAGTATTAAATGTTTACAGTATGCTCAAAACTCTAATAATTTAGTTTTCATATTTAGAAATTCTAGTTTATTGTAATTTAGTCTATAAAAAAATATTTCTAAAAATATGTTTGGAAGATATTTCAAATAATTATTAATTATAAACAACTTATTTAGTTCTAAAAACATAATTTAAACTTTTAGAGAATGAACCTTTGATTATAATTGGTTACTCTTACGGATTTTAGAATGTATTAACAATAAGCCAAAATTCATTAAATTAAAATAATACCAGCAGAAGACATTTTTAGGTATATAAGAGATTTCTGTAGAAAAGATATCTAGAAAACATTTCTTTAAAGATATAACTTTGATAAATACAATAATATCTGAGTAAATTAAAACATATATACTAAATTATGGCTTATTGTTAAAATATTTTCTCATAACCACATTCTAAAATTTAAATAATACCACCTTTGCTAGTCATGATCTTTAGTCGTTATATTGTGTATTCTGCTTGCGTGCAGTAAACATATAACACTATATAAGTAGTATACATATGACACGTACCAATCACAAAATTTGTTTGACACGTACTAATCACAAAAATTAATTTATTTTTTACAATTACTTATATACTAATTACAAGTACCAATCACAAAATTCGTTTGACACGTACTAATCACAAAAATTAATTTATTTTTTACAATTACTTATATACTAATTACAAAATTATTTTATATATATATAATTTTACAATTACTTATATTTCACAATTAAATGTGATTGGACGGTTGTTTCATATAAATTCAATTTTAATACATGTTAGAATTTATTTTAAAGATTGAATCAGTTATGGAAGCATACGGTTTTATTATTACCTACGACGGAGACAGAAATTATTCTGTATCTCCTCGCTTGTATAAGTCTTTGGATAGCTGTATTGCTGCGGTAAATAATTTTTCTTTTGATATTCCCGATAATTTTCCAATTGTTTTGCGTTATTTTAAAGTTAACGGAGAAATGTGGAAAGGAAATGGAAGGTTTGGATTTGTAATTGTTGACGAGGACGGAAGAATTAACGAAGTAAGTAATAACTTATATTATTCGTTCGAGGACTGTTCGGATGTTATGAACGAAGTTTATGTTGAAAAGAACAAGAAGAATATATTAATTTTTAGAGAGATAAATTGTGGATCAAAGCATTATAAATTTACTAAAGTTCATAAAATCGACTGATGATGTATTTCAAGCATCCGAGTAACTGTATAATCGCTGGGCCGTCACAATGTGGAAAGACAACGCTGGTAAGAAAAATTATTCGCTGTAAAATTTATGAAAAATCGTTAAACAAAATTTTATGGTGTTGTTCTGTATATTTACCGTTTTTTCATGACGAAAAAAATATTACATTTATGTATGGTTTACCTGAATCCGTGCAAGGATGGGATTTAGTAATAATTGATGTTTTGATGCACGAACTCAGCTCAAAAACTGCATTTCTCTTTACTACAGAGTCTCACCATTATAACGTAAGCGTGATCCTGATAATGCAGAATTTGTTACCGAAAAATAAAATTGAGGGATATAACTTTAAATACTCATTATTTGATTTTGTTTAAAAATAATCGTGATGAAAGTCAAGTAAGTTGCTTGGGACGGCAAGCTTTTGCAGGAAAATGTAATTTTTTTATGGATGCGTATAAAAAAGCAACGGAAAAGGATTTTGGTTATTTGTTATTGGATTTTCACCCAAAAACAGACAAGAAACTTTCGGTGCGAGATTCGTGTTTTCCGGATGAACAAGGTATTTTTTGGCTATACTTACCGATAAAATGAAGAACGTAAAGAAAAATTACCATATGCTGGCGCTTTTAGCTAAAACTACTCCGTCTCAGCGAAGAGCAATATTGAAAGAGGCTACTCCCGATCAAGTTAAAGTTTTGTGCGAAATATGCGATAATTTGCGGAGAGGAAATATACCTGTCAACGTTCATAAATTACGAAAATATAAAAAAATAATCCGGAAATTAAGTGAAAAGCACGTTCCTTTAAATACCAAGAAAAGAATTTTAGTTAATCAATCTGGTGGATTCCTTCCTCTTCTACTGGCGCCATTATTGTCTATGGCAGGAGGATTAATTGGTAAAGTAATAGGAAAAAGAATCTAATGGCAAAGCAAATGGCTTTAGTCCCTCCCGAACTGTTAGCAGCATATCGGAAACCTGAAATAAGAATTGGTAATAATATTGAAGAATTACTCGAGAGCACCGATTTATCCGACGATAGTAAAGTTAAATTATTAAGTCAACTGATTTCGAGATATCAGAGAACGATTCATGCACCAAAAGAACCAGTTAGAGTATCCGTCGTACCGGACGAAAATCAAGAAGTGTCTTCTCCACCCGAAGAAAAACCCGATGATAATGGGGAGGATGTAATTGTTAAACAAATTACTATATCTGTCCCTCAGTTATATCGAAAATATGTACCGCATTTAATCGACAGACTGAGACAAAATCATTACGGATGGAATGAAAAAGGGGAATTGACAATCGGCGGTAAGCCAGTTGCTGGAAGTCATATGGTGGATTTAATATCTCATTTAATGAGAAATAGAAAAACTCCATTAGCTCCTTCCGGTTTTAACGAATTTTGGCAAGCCTTACGAGAAATAAATATTCCTAAAGAGTGGATTGGAAACAAAAGTTTGGCGACTCTACCCGAAATCGGCGAGCAACTAAGATATCAACCGACACCTGTTGAAAGTCCCGAAGAAATTTTTTCTTCAATTTCTCCGAGAATATTTTACCAGTGGAAAAAATCATCTACGAGAAAGAGGAAAAAGAGTCCTGAATGGAGAAACTTTTAAAATCGATATATTATAATCCTAAATCTTCGGCATCGTTTGGAGGAGTGAGTAAACTAGCTAAAGCTTCTAATTTACCGAAATCTGTGGTCGAAAAATGGCTGTCTTCGCAACCAGTTTATTCGCTTCATAAACCTGTAAGAGTTAAGTACTCGCGAAGAAAAACTAAAGCTTTTTATCCTAACGACCTATGGCAGGCCGATTTAATCGTGTTAAAGCAATTTTCTAGATATAATAATGGAATAAAATATTTATTAACCGTAATTGATGTATTTAGTAAATATTGTTACGTTGTGCCAATAAAGGATAAAAAACCTAAGTCTATTTTGGAAGCTTTTCAAGTTATTTTTAAACGAAATATTCCAAAAAATTTGCAAACCGATAGGGGGACCGAATTTTATAATAGGTTAGTAAAAAGTTTGTTTAAAAAATATAAAATTAATCATTATTCGACTCATTCGGATACTAAAGCTTCCGTGGTCGAGAGATTAAATAAAACTTTACGAAATAAAATATATAGGTTATTTACTTACCGTAATTCTTATCAATATATCGATAAATTAAACGATATCGTAAAAGGATATAATAATAGTTTTCACAGAAGTATCGGTATGGCTCCATCTGAAGTTAATCTTTTGCATTACGGTACAATTTTTGATAGGCTGTATGGTATAAAAAGAAAAGATAAATTTAAATTTAATATTGGTGATTTAGTTCGAATTTCGAAAATACGTAAAACATTTAGTCGTGGATATCTGCCGGGGTGGACGAAGGAAATATTTGTTGTTCACGATCGATTTATATCGCATCCTCCGACTTACGTATTGAAAGACGCAAATAACGAAATTTTGAAAGGAAGGTTTTATACCGAAGAATTGCAAAAGGTAACAAAATGATGCAGTCAGACTTTTTTGTCACGTTGATAAGTAATGCAAGTATGGACCTGTTTCCAAAAAATACTCAGTCTAATTTTATGGTGAAAATGAGTCCCCCCATTAATTTACATGGAAATTGGGCAGTTGGACTTAGTGAAGTTATTATTCCGAGAAATTGGTTTAATATATCTAACCACAATAACGATTACGTTGTTACGTTCGAAGAAATTATAAAAGAAAAAGATGAGCCGTTGCCGGATAAATCATATTTGGTTCCTTTGATTCCTATTAAAGATAAAGAAAGTAAATTGTTTGATGGAATAAACGAAAACATACTTTCGTTAACGAATTCTAATTTGGCAGAATTTATTTTTGATGAAGATAAACAAACCGTAGACGTAAATATAAAAGATGCACACGAGTTGCACATTACGGTCGAGCATGCGTCAAAATTACTTTATATGCTAAATTTACCTAACGAAGATATCGTGCTAAGGGAGAATTCAACTTATAATTTTCGATTATCGACGAAGGCCTATTCCAATCAATTTTTTACTTTAGTGGAAAAAAATAGAAAAAAAGAAGTAATTAAGAAAACTTATAGGGATGAAAAAATCTTTATTCCTATAGGATTATATTCGTCTCCTGAAAAGTTTTTAGGAATTTTTAAATATATAAAGCTAGCTTTACTACCGAATAATAAAATTATTTTAAAAGTTCCGTCGAATATCTCTGTAGAATTCGGAAATGAATTAAAAGATTTCTTAGGATTTACAACTGCAAAATATCCACCAGGGGAATATATAAGTCACTATCCGATCGAAATGTCGGCCGGAATATCAGAAATTTTTATTTATTCGAATATTATTTCCTCCCATCACGTTGGAGATATAACAGCACCGTTATTAAGAGTTACACCTGTTATGGGAGAAAAAGAAGATCAGATATTTAGAGTTTATTCGACACCTTTGTATTTTCCTGTAAAGAAAAATTATATAGATTCCATAGAAATTGAATTGAGATCTGCTGGAGGAAAAGAAATTGTCTTTTTTGGTGGAAAAACGTTATTAGTTTTATCTTTTAAACAGTTATAAATACTACCCAGTTTTATTTCTAATGTTAGTTCGTCTGTGAGAAGTACAAAATGAAGCTCGATCCTAAAGTTTGTATAAATTATTACTGCAATCAAGCAGGAGGAACAATATGGACTCCCGATTCATACATGAGGAAAATGATGCCGGGAGGAGGTTATTTTGCAGGACCTCAAATTCAACGAGGATACGGATTTTTCGGAGATTTATTTCGTAAATCTATTCCTATTTTGAGTAAAGTTGGAAAATATCTAGGACGAAAAGTGTTAAATTTCGCATCAGGCGTCGGATCGGACGTAATTGCGGGGAAATCGTTTAAAGAATCGGCGAAAACGCATCTAAAAGACATCTCTTCCGAAATTAAAGACGACGTAGTTAAAAAAGTACAGGGTGGATCGGGTATAAAAAGAAGAAAACGATTGAAAAAATTAATCCAGTCTCGGAATAAAAGAAGGAAAGCGCGCGATATATTCACGGACTAAGAATGGACCCGCGTTCCTGTCCTTGCACCAAAAGTGAGTTGGACCTATTTACCACCGTTTCGACGCAATTGGCTATCGACAACACATCAGAGGTCATTGTACATCCCATCGCCATCATCTCGGATAGTCGTGCTCCTATCGAATTTTACGTATCCGGTTCAGGTGAAAATTATATCGATTTGCATTCAATTTATCTTCACGTTCAAGCAAAAATTGTTAAAAAGGATGGAACAGATATTCCGGCCGATGAAAAAGCTGCTCCAGTTAATTATTTTTTAAATAGTTTGTTTTCTCAATGCAGTGTTTTTCTGAATGACAAACAAATTATTGCGCAAACTAACTACCAATATAAGGCGATTCTAGATGCTTTATTATTTTATTCAAAAGACGCGCAAAAAACTTTTTTAACATGTGCATTATTTTATAAAGATACTGCACAA